TTGAGAGAGAGAGACAGCACGCAAGCAAGGGAGGGGCAGAGAGAGAGAGGGAGACACAGAATCCCAAGCAGGCTCCAGGCTCTGAGCTGTCAGCACACAAACTGATGGGGGGCCTGAACTCACGAACTGGGAGATGGTGACCTAAGCCCAAGTAGGAAGCTTCACCAACTGAGCCACTCACGCGCCCCTCTCCAGCTTCTTTAAGGAGGGAAGGTCGTGGGCCGGCTAGAGGAACCCAGGCTGTGGGGGCCCAGCGGGCAGTGGGGGTCATCAGGGGGTGGGAGGGCTTCCTGGAGTTGGGGTCCACACTGTGATTCGAGGCCCGAGTCTTAGCTTGGAGGAGGCGAGATCCGGGCTGGCCCTCGAAGGCGTGTGTGTGCTTGCGCGCGCCGCGGTGGGGACAGCGTGCCCCGCAGCTGCGTGCCGCGTGGGCCAAGGCCTGGCGGCGTGACGGCCCACGCTTCGCCCCCAGGTTCTACTGGGACTTCACCATGTTGCTCTTCATGGTGGGAAACCTCATCATCATACCTGTGGGCATCACCTTCTTCAAGGATGAGACCACCGCCCCGTGGATCGTGTTCAACGTGGTCTCGGACACGTTCTTCCTCATGGACCTGGTGCTGAACTTCCGCACGGGCATCGTGATCGAGGACAACACGGAGATCATCCTGGACCCCGAGAAGATCAAGAAGAAGTACCTGCGCACGTGGTTCGTGGTGGACTTCGTGTCTTCCATCCCCGTGGACTACATCTTCCTCATCGTGGAGAAGGGCATCGACTCCGAGGTCTACAAGACGGCGCGCGCGCTGCGCATCGTGCGCTTCACCAAGATCCTCAGCCTCCTGCGGCTGCTGCGTCTGTCGCGCCTCATCCGCTACATCCACCAGTGGGAGGAGGTGAGCGCCGGGCCCGCGGGCAGGTGCTGCGGGCAGGTGCGGGCAGGGGAGGCTCCGGGAGGGGCTGCGAGGGGCAGGGTCATGGGGGCTGAAGGCGGGGCCCTCCACGCATTCGCGCCCCCCCCCACTTCATTCTGCCCTGTAAAGGGGGGATCCCACCCCCCCGCCCCCACTGGCGGCAGCGAAAACAGGCCCAGAGGAGCGAGGTCACGCCCCCTCTGCCCCGAGAGAGCCGCTTCTGGACTGTCCTCCAGCCCGCTGCCGGCAATATCGCCCCCGGTTTCTGGGGCCGCGGCAAGGCTCC